GTTTTGGGCTGGCTTTCAGCATGCTATTGGGGTTCCCATCTCAGCAGAACTGGTAGCATGCATTCACCAATTTATCTCTCTCTCTCTCTTTCTCCCTGGGTTATTCCTTTCTTCATTTCCCCTTTTTGTAAATAAACCATTTATTAATCTTTTTGTGTGTGCCTGCAGTTGAGTCTCATTGTAAGTCCCTTTAGCTGCATGGGTGAGGACCCACAGTCAGGCCAATCCATTTTACATTGGGGTTGCCCTATAACAAAAATCACTTCCCTAACAGCAGCATAATGTAAGGAGAGACACACAATGTGAGTTATCATGATGCAGGCATAAGCAAGGGCCAGATAACTTTCCACAGAAAGAAAGGGATGGCATCAAGTCAACCTGAGCTAAGCTGAACATTCCAACTGCCTCTTTTGCCACTATGCTTTCTGGAAAGACTCAGTGAAGAACCTAGAGAGCTCTGGAATTCTAGAAGCCCCAATGGAGAAAGGCAATAGGAAGCAATTAACACCCTGCATTTTTTTTTAAATAGCTTACACTGCAGGGGAGCAATGCCTAAAAGGGTGTTTAAATTCAGCATAGAATTCTAGCAACCACAATTTTAATTGCATACCACCTAAAAAATATTTCTTTCCTGTCTAAATGAGAGGAAGGCTATAATATATGCTGTCTACTTGTTTCAGGACTCAGTTATTAACCTTTAAGAATATTTTCTAGGATAAAAACTTCTTTTTCCAGCTAACACATCTCGAGACTGATATTCAATCTAAAACCCAAACTCCTTTCTTGGACCATGTTAAGACTTCAATTCCCTGTCACTGAAGACACTCTGAACAGTATTTCAGACATAGGAAAGTCAGGGCTTTATTTTCTTAATTGGTGGCTTAAAAATAATAACTTTTAGAATTCACAGAAATAAAATATCACTTTATTCTCCAACACACAAACACACAGTTAGAAAAAAAGAAAACAGCAGCACACAATATGCAATCTGACTACTCAACAGCAAGTTACTGCAGACGCAGACAGTGGAGACCAGCTTGGGGTTTCCATAGCAATAACTTTATGTGGTTTCACTTCTGGGAATTTAACCAAATCCCCAGCAGCAGGGCAAAATCATCAGCAAAAATTGTGTAACATATGGCAAATGCCAACGAATCAGTTAGGAAAAATACTTGTAGGTTCTCTTCCTTCCTACCAACAGGAACACCATCATGTCAAGCTGCTTGACAAAGCATAAAGGTTTTGTTGCTCACTCTGCACTGAGCACAAAATGTTAAAATACCAGGTTTCTTCCGTCTCAGATTTAAAGAGTTGTTGGTACCCTGCCAAGGCCTGAGGCATGTGCATCCCCGGAATGACACTGAGAGGTGGGCAAGAACTGCATCTCCCCAAGGCACTCAGGTTATCGGTCCTGAAGGGAATCTCAGTCTGCGGGGTTATCTCTTGGGAAAGAATGCAAATGGCATTTTTACTCTATTATGCTTTTGAAGCCATCCTCTTGAGGGGTGCTTTGTGCACTAGCGTGTGTGCATGACACAGTCTATTTATATGGCTCAATCATTAAAGTAAGAGTTTTCAGCAGGGAAAGAATATTGTTTTAGTTTCACTGGTTCTAGCTGCAAGGATCTTGAAGTATTACGTTAGAGTCTTTCTGGTTCAAGACACTTAAATTCTCTCTCCAGTATATTTTTGTAAGAGCAAGGACTTTCATCGATATGTAATAGGCTATTAATCTCCTATGGAAATGGTTGTCTGAGAATGAGTAAATATCTCCATTGATCAGAAGTGTATGACTTTCCAAGAATCCAAATCTATTTTGAATAGTTATCAGCATAAAAAAGCAGCTTCCTTTTTAAAAATTGAGATAATACCGTTTTAACGTTGTTGTTTGTATTTGGGGAATATAGGACCTTCCCCTTTAGGTGTTGTTACCATAGTGCCCCACCGCCAAAGCACCACAGTTCCCACCCTACTCGATGTGCTCAGTCCTACTCTGTTCTCACCCCTCCCGCCTCTCAGGATGCTTCAGTTCTATAGTCATCTTTCAAGGATTAGTTTTTAAGTTTGGCTTTACCTGACCATATGTTTAGTTGCTCTATATTTCACCTATAAGTGACACCATCCAGTATTTTAATTTCTCCCTTTGATTTATTTCATTTAGCATAATCCCTTCCAGCTCTATCCATATTGCTGCAAATGCCACAAGTTTGTCTTCTTTGATCACTTAGTAATATTCCATTGTGTATATATACCACATCTTGATCTATTTGTCTGTTTGGGGGCACTTAGGTTGCTTCCATATCTTGGCTATTGTAAACAGTGTTGATATGAACATGGGAGCACAAGTTTCCCTTCTAATTAGTGTTTTTGTGTTCTTCAGCTAGATACCTAGGTGTGGAATTGCTGGGTCATATGGAAGATCCATTTTTAATCTTTTGAGGAACCGCTATATTGTTTTCCAAAGGGGCTGAGCCAGGCTATATTCCCAACAACAAATATAAGAGGATTCTGTTTTTCTCCACATCCTTGCCTCAAAACTACTTCCTTTTTACTTGTACCAATTTGCATCAGTTTTGTAGTCCAAGAAGATACAAACTAGTCCCAGGATTTCTTCTACATGGCAGCACGTCATGAACTGGGTCAGCTTGAGTCTACTCTTTCCCATTCCTCACAGTCCGAACTTGCCCCTCCAAATCCCTCAGTGGCTTTTCGCTCCCTTTTCTATCCATTTCATTCACCTCAAGAGCTGGTCATTTTGCCAATGACTTCATTCACTCCACTTTTTCTGATGTAAAGCAAATCATTGGCATTAGTTAGGAGCATCAAATTAAAATGCCATCACAGAGGCCAGGCTGGGAACTCATCTGTGTGAAGCATCTTCAGGTAAGGCCCAGGATGTGGTGACAACTGTAGTGACATGGACAATGAGTTTCCAGTCTGAGCTCAGATTCATGCATTTTAAAATACTATATTGAAAAATGGACAGTGAATCTGAATAGTCCCTTCTCCAAAGAAGACATACAGGTGACCAATAGGCAGGTGAAAATGTGTTCATCATCTCGTATTATTAGGAAAATGTAAATAAAAACCACAAAGAAATATCACCACACATCTGTGAGAATTACCCAAAGGATGAGAAACAAGTTTTGGAGAAGATGTAGACAAAGGAACCCTTGTACAGTGCTGTTTGGAATGTAAATTGGTGTGGCCATCATGGAAAGCAGTATGGAGATGCTTCAAAAAATTAAAAATAGAAAGTTCATATGACCCAGTAGGAGAAAGTTCATATAAGCCAGATGGAGAAAGACAAGCACCCTAATATGATTTCACTCCTATGCAGTCTATAGAGAAAACAAACAGATGAACTAAATTAAACAAAAATAAACTTTAAGACTACAGAACCAAATTAGTGGTTACCCAAAGGGAAGGGGGAACAGGGTGTGTAAATTGGGACAAGGGGACAACCACATGGTGAAGGATAAAATCTAGCAATGATCTTAATCTAGTCTATACACATGTTGATTCTCAATGATGCACACCTGAAACATATGTTATAGAACATTATTATTTCAATTAAAAATAAAGTATTGTGCATGCACACATATATCTGGGTCTGCAGCTCAAACCCTTGGTCCAAATTACTCTAATAGGAAATATTGTTAATATAACAGATCTGAAAATTTTAAAGCTTAAAGAAACTTTCCCTGATTAGACTGGGGGAAGAGAGAGCCTTCCTTATGACATCGGGCCGCTCTAGCTGGGTATCATAGGAATTCAGTTTGACAATTTTCCACCAATATTACACAGGAAATACCAGCCAACCCCTTCTTTCTCTGGTTGCTCAGTTTTACACCAGAATAAATAAGGTATAGACCATCAGAAAAGATTCATCATAACTGAAAACTAATTCAAAATAAAAAGAATTAGTCTATAATAATAATAATAATAATAATAATAATAAGGGCCAATGAGCACATAGTATTGAAACAGGAATGAAAGACTCGTCTTTCTGTCCCACCTAATATGCTCTCCCATTTCCTCATTTATCCTCTAGTCTTAGCAAATATTGTTTTCTTACATTCTGAGGGAAAAGAGCATCATCAGGAAGATAACAATCTGAAGTGCTGACCACCAGGTGGCAGCAAAAGCAAAGTGACATCAACCTGTTACAAGGACAAACATGCTGACCCTTGTCCACTCCCCCTTCTACTCCCTTGTAACTCTGGATAAATACCCCTGCCCTCTGCCAAAGAGCAGGACATTGATCTTCCAGAAATGATTCTGCTGCCCTCTTCAATCTGTCAACAAATTAAACTACTCTCCTTGTCCTCAAACTCTGTTTCCTTTCATTGCCCACGGGAAACTGAGACTGGCATTCAGTGACAGTATTTAGAAAGTTTACAGTATGAATGTCTATACTCCACTATTTCTTTCCTTGACTAAGACCTGAAATATTTTTCAAAAACCTAAATTCTCGTTTGAGTTCAAAACTTCTATTACTGCCCTCCAAGTCACAGGCAAATTGGCTGTCTTCCTACTAACCACACAGGTGCCTTCAGGGGAAGAAGTGGCCAGACCTGTCAGTGGTTCTGGCCCAGGGGAGTTGGTTGCTCTGAGTTCGCATGGTGCCATGGAAAAGAAGTTATGGCTGTCAGACTGCAAAACCCTGATCTAATTACAAGTTCAGTATAGGGCAGGGAACAAAAAAGGGACAGCTTTTCTCAGGCTGATGGAAGAGTACCATTATTTTATAATCACAAGTCTCATAGCTCTAAAGGCATTTGGTAATGACACAGCAGGGAATGAATGACCTGGAAGCTGACGTTTTTCACATGCAAACTCCTCTACAGAGCAGCCCTGGGGCTCAGTCCACTTGACTATTTAATTACTGCATCTTCATTCATGACTTTAAACACTCATTTTACAAATTAACTTAAGAGCTCCACATATACACATAAATAGCCACTGTGGAACAAAGGGTAAATAATTTCTTGCTTTACCTCTGTCCATCATCCTTGATCCAGTAGGCTTGTCTGGGACAGTAAGATGGTCTAGGTTGCTACTCAAAGAAGAAGTGTCATCACTAGATAAAGAATTCAAAAATCCACTTTCTGATGTGGCAAAGCTGTTTTCCAGGTCCTTGCGACTGTTTGCCTCTGCAGGTGCAGGTGAATGAATCTGCAGAGCAAAAGTTATAGACTGGCCCCCATCCTCGGCGGCCGACGTGCTGTTAACTATGTCAATCCAGGACTGTCTTTCCTTCCGGTAGGACGAAGACGAACTGCCAGGTGTCTTTGTGGCGTTTTCCAGGGAAGAGAAAGAACATGAAGCTTCACTCAGGTTGGGTGAGGCTGAAGATGCCTGCTGTGCAGCCTATTTTTCAAAAATAAAACCAAAAAGGAAATCAGCATTCTCTACCGTTCATTTTCAAGGAAGGTTCTCAACATTTCAAAAAGAGTCCAACAATAGCAAAGCCCAAAGCAATGTGTATGATATTTATATCTGTAGGACAGGGACGATGAGGGCATTTCTCTGACAAGTGATTAGTATAACTTTGAATTTACGAACTTTGGATCTGAAAACTCTCCATATCACAATTTACCCTATTTTTTCAATCATCTCCATAAACTGAAAAGGCCCCTCTGGGGAATTCTCGGAAATACTGAAAGACACCTTCAGCAAAATTAGATTTCAGTCTATGGTTGAATTCTTACTCATTAAGTAAAAGTTCTTGAAAAAGATGATGATGGGAAAAAAAAAAAAGCAAAAGCTCGACCCAGACAGGAAACAAAATAATGTAACTGAGTGGAGACCAGCAATGTGGGTAAAGCACATGTATTTAAACCCTCAAATATCTTTCACATATTCCTTCACATGTGACCAGAATCAGCTCATAACTACATAGTTGGGTGAAATAATACTAACTAATTTGTTCTTTAACAATTTAAAACTCTAATAAGTGTCACCATAGAAGACAAGTAGACATGTACAGGTTTCTACTTCATTAAAGAAAATCCAAACACTATAAGGCTGGCATGATAATGCAGGATCTTCTAAAGGCAATGCCTAACACATGATCCAGAGAGAGTGATAATTCTTGGCCAAATATTCACCAATCCCCAGAGAAAATCTCAATGCTACATCACCAATTGTCCCGTTTTGTGAAAGACTTCACTTATTCTAAAATGTTATCCTTGTTACATTCTTATGCTTTCTTAAAAAATGGTTATAGTCAGGCCTCCCTGGTGGCCTAAGGGTTAAGTCTCAGAGTTTTGACAGCTATGGCATGAGTTCAATCCCCAGCCAGGGAGCTGACCCACATGGTGCAGCAGACCTCTCCTGTTTCCCTGCTGCTCAGCAGTGTATTTCAGTAGATCCAGTGTTCTTCTCCTTACTCTGTCTCTGGTGCATCCTCTCACCACCCCAACCCGCACCTCTGGCCTACACCCCAGTTTTTTAATGAAAAAATAATTTAAAAAAGAATGGTGATAGTAACATAAAGCCCTGTCTTTCTGGAGTTTTTCAAAATGTCCTACATAGCAAAATAAAGATTTGGCAACTCTCTGTTATTCCATTTTTAATCTTATTGGTCAATAAAGTCCAAAAAAACCTAGACATCAATGTTCTACAGGGCATCCTCTATTTGAAACAACCAATAAGACAGAAAAGGCATTTTATGTTCAGTTTCATTGTCATCTTATGGTGTGCTCCAGTCAATTTTAGTCATTCGATAACTCCAAGGAAGTGGGGGGGAGGGATTTTTCTGAGGGAAGAAGTCAAAGAGAAACCCAGGACTCTATGAAAGACTCAGTCACTACAATTGACTCAGAATGGTTCATTTGTTCCAAACTCCAACAGCCCCACCAATGTTGCAGGTTCTGAGCTCTGAATTTTGATAGAAAAGCCACTATTTCCCTGATATGTACCTAGTGGACTGCTTACTACACACAGATGTCAAATAACCACTAATTGCATTTCTTACAAGGAATGACATTAAAATATCTGTTAGGACACCAACTCACCACACGTGTCTTCTCAATAACAATATTTTTCCATAGACAAGAAAACTTCTCATTCAGGAATGTGTCAAGGGAACAGTGACATGAAATCTCCCAGACCATCTACCCCTATAAGATCAAAATCTGCACTCTTTAAAAAACAAAACAAAAAAAAAACCACCAACAGTTATTTGAGGAGGTAATATATACATACACTCCCCAAGTCATCCAAATCAATGCCAAGAATTGTTTACTCATTGGCAGGAGCTACAGAACAAATATTAACAAAAATATCTATTCAGGCCCAGGCCAGTTCCTCTACTGTGAGCTATTTCACTAAAATTTGCCTTCAGTGATCAGCTTCCTTTTCTGAAAAGAGCTAAAACTCAAGCTTTTCCTGCTACTGCTGCTGATACTGCTGTCATTTGATTACACAAAAATGGGATATCTGAGCAAAAGACAGCACACTTCCTGCATCAATTTCCATTAAGCCTTTCTGAACCTCAAAAATGCTTAAAGGATAAAGGAAAGACCTGAAATACGAGAAATGAGTATCAGAGTACCTGTGACATGTACCCTCAGGTGTGGTGTTAACACAAGCAAAGGCTTTGCAGCCATTTTCTCCAGCACCATGAAATACTTTTAAATTTGAGTTTCAAATGGAGAAAAGAAAAGGCATGAGAAGGAAAACTGGGGAGAAGGAAAAAGAAAAATAAGAAAGAGATATGTGTGTCTGATCAAGGGGCATTTTCATTAGAAGAGAGAAACAACAAATTATAAATCAAAATGAGCCTGGCTTTCTATTGCAGGGGGTGCAATGTGCAAACATGCTTCTATCACTTCACCATTCTGTAGCTAAAACGGGGAACTCTTAGCTCATGGCCTTCTCCCATTCATGTAAGAAACTCATGAAACTCTTCATGGCAAAGTATATAAAGGTAGAAAGGAGGGACAGTCACACGCCGAGTGGCTAATGCAAGCCCATCTTCAAGTGTGGCCCAAGGTCCAGTTCCTGCAGGAAGCCCTCCCCAGGGAGCTCAGGGCAGTGCCTTCACCTGGAGCCGAGGCTAACTTCATTCACACTGTGTGGAACAGCATTTGCTTTGTCATGTGATACTATAATTGCTGATGGCCTTGTTCATCTTTTTTAGTGAGTCACGTGGAAATAAGATTGTTCTAAATCATGTTTGCATCTCCATTTGTTGCATCTGTGTCTGATACACAATTGTTTAAAGAGATAATTTCAATAAAAAGTGGCCAGAAGGGGCCTCCCCAGAGGCTCAGCGGGTTGAGCACTGCACTGTGAAGCTGTCCTTAGCCTCTGCAGTGCAGGTTCTATTCCCGGCCGACCAGGGAGATTCCCACATGGCGTGGCAGACCTCTCCTGTCATGCCCTCTGCTCCCCTCAGCAGTGTTCTCGGTCATCTGCCTGTTCTGCTCTTCACTCTGTCTCTGGTGAATCCTCCCACCCCCCGCACCTCTGGACTGTACCCCCGATCTTGTATTAAAAAAAAATAAATCTTTAAAAAATAAGTGGCCAGAAGATCCAGCTATATGAAGGAAAACAGCCCACAGTAATTTAGTCACCTTTGATGAGCACGCTGAAATTTCTTGTATAGTAGCTATGGATGATTTATCTCAGTCTGAGGATCTAGGGGTGACTGGTTCTGATTGTATGTGGTTTCATTCATTTCAGGCCATGTGGGGTTTACATCTTTTATTTTTTAATGAGAAATAAAATAAAACATTTTAAAGGATTTTGTGGGTTTTTTTTAAAGATTTATTTTATTATTTATTATACAAGAACCTGGGTAAGGCCAGATTCATGGGAGGGTGAGAGGATTCACCAGAGACAGAGCGGGGAACAGAACAGGCAGACTGATGAAATACACTGCTGAGGGGAGCAGTGGGCGTGGCAGGAGAGGTCTGTTGCGCCATGTGGAACTCTCGCCGGGGGCCAGGGATCGAACCAGTGCTGCAGAGGCTGCAGGCAGCTTCGCAGCCCAGCCCTCAACCGCTGCGCCACCAGGGGAGGCCCAGGATTTCAGTTTTAATGAAGAGACTATATGACTCAAGCTTAAAATCAATATTGTTTTTCCCATTTTCTGTGTATTTTTTATTCATCTGAGAAGCTTAATTCAAATGCTAATTACCTCTAAAATCCTTTTCTTTGAATTGTTTTAAAAACATAACTTTGACATGAGAAAAAATTAGTTTAAAATGGCCACCCAAAGTTTATAATTAGGAAGAAGTGAGTCATCACATAAACCCTAAGTAACATTAGTCAAAGTATATGAAAAATCAGAAAACAGAGAAATAACTTAAGACTAAACATCATGAAGCCAAATGAGGAAAAAAAGACATACACAACTTTTCTCTCCTTTTATTGCTTATATTCCTAAAAAACAATGGTTTTTAAGTCCCGGGAAGTGTTACGTTTGTATTTCCACCATTGGTAGTGGAAGAATTACTCTGAAGGCTCCAAGAGCCTAGGCAGTACAATCCCCCCTCTGCCACTGACTTTCAACATGACCCTGGACAATGAACCGGCAGAAGTCCCTCTCCACACCCCCATCTTCAGGATCTAAGTGACCTTGGGGAAAGTGGTTTTACCTCCAAGTCTTCCTGGCCCCATCCCCCCACTGCTCACCTCTTCCCCCACCACAGTCCACCCTCCAATAACAGCTAGAGTGCTTCTAAAACACAAGGCAGATCACAATGCTCCTTGCTGAAAGTCCTCTGTGTCTTCCCATCACAAGTTGATAAGTAGCCACAGTCTACCGCCATAGCTAAGAAGGTGCATATGGGCCCATCTACCCTCCCACAACATCTCCATCCACCTCATTACAAGTGAGTGAAAGCACCAGGCCAGTGCAGGCCAAGAACTTTTTAACTCACTTGGGAAAATGCTATGGAGGGCAAAAATGAAGTCACATGAGTCACCTGTTACCACCCTGTCCACCCATGACATATATATTATTGATACATTCTGTTATATATAAATTATATATTGTTATAAATTTATAAGGAAGCTATTCCAACTATGAGCTAGGGACAGTCATAACTGTTGTGGGAAGAGAAAAAGATATTCAACACTTCTTTTCACTTTAAGAATTTAATAATTAGAGAAATAAACCAGATGTACAAAATCTGTAATCAAGGAAATGATAACCACATGGAAAAGGCAGCAAAGAACACTGCACTCTAGGAATACAGAGAATTGGGAAAAGGACAGGACTACCCCTGTTTAGAGGACTAGGGGAGCCACTGTGAAGGAAGTGACATTTGAACATTTGAACTGGCCTTGAAAGACATTTAGACAATGCCATTCGGGTGGGGGTTGGGGTTGGGTGGTTTCTCCTGCAAGTGGAGAAACTTCAGAGGTGCACGAGCGAGCAGGTCTGGGAAGCTTTGGGGAAATCATAGGGGAAATCATACTGGGCTGGTGGTAAAAGAGTGTCACACTCTGAAGGAAACCCAAGGGTCTTAAATAACAAGCCGGGTTGAGAATGAATTCAATAAGCAATCAAAATTCACTGCAAGGTCTTGGCGCAGTTGAATCAGTATCATCAGAACTCCACTTAGCAAGACTAGGAGGAGGTTTCAAAGGAGAGAGATTAGAGACAGTGGAAGGTAGCCTGCTATTTCAGCAACCTGGGCAGGAGCTAATGCTGGTCTCCAACGATGCAGTGCCAGAGGCTGGAAGGAGGAGGGAAGACAGGCTTCCTGCCTTGTGATCGAGTCCACAGGGCTCAGAGAAGGATGGTTAAGCAGGAAGCAAAGGTATAAAAACTAATTTTAGAAAGTCTTAAAATCAGTTCAATGTTCAACCACAGAGCTTCGGATTGTATTTTGCATCTGGAGGATTCTTTTACCTTTTCCTTGTTCTTACAGCCACTGAGTAATTTTTATCCAACTCTCACTTGTAAGCATTTGCATTATTTTCTATAGCACAAATATAGAAAGATCAAGTAACCCTGAGTGAACAGCTATGTGAGGCTTGTCCTCTAAAATGAAACCTGAACTTCTTAAGCTGATTTTACCCCTTTCTGTGTTTGACCTTGGCCTTCTTCCTCTGCCCCGGCCTATGGGCCACAGAGTACAGAGTTTGTTTTTACTTATCGTTTCTTTGGTTTGCTTGAGCTGATGGTTTTTGGTTTTTTTTTTTTCCTTTGGATATAAATGAACTGTACTTCTGAAAAGCATCAAACTGTGAGGACTGTCTTGTTAAAATAATCTGCAAGAGCTGCTTGAAGCTCGGATTATAAATATTTATCTTCTCAGTTTCTCTCAGATCTCATCCACCTACTGGGTGGTCTCTCTCCCGACTGTCTTCAAAATCTGACCATTCCACTTCTCTGCTCTGCCCTCATGTGAACTCCCCCCTCCCACACCAGAGCACTGCACACATTGCCAGGGGTTACTTAGCTTCTATACCCACCCCACCTCCCTGTGTCTTTCCCTTACAGTATCCTGAGTGGGGCTTTCAAATTGGAAACTGAGCACATCTCCCTTGCTCAGATTTTCCAAAGGCCCCTGAACTAACTCAAAACAGCCAAGTCCTTACCTGGCCCACAGACCCTACGTAGCACTACTACCATCCCCAACAGCCTCACACACTCTACTCTCATCTTACTCCAGCCTCTCCAGCCACACCAGCTTCTTGGATTACTACCTATGCACCCAGGAGATCTTGCCCCAAACTGTCCCCTTTGCTTGGAAATTGCCTACCAGGTGGTTACAGAAGTTCCAGTGCTTACCCTTACACCATGACCACTAGAATGATGAGTGATTCCATTAATTTTTTAATTCCAGATTTAAAATTTTCTGAGATAATTTTCCATAATAGCATTATTTTATATTTTGGGGGTCATCATTCCTAAATGAAATTTCATGACCCAAAATATTTTTTTAAAGAGCAAGAACTTGGAAAGATTTTTTTTTCCCCTAGACTTGTATAGCTCAATTATGGCTAGCATAGGCCAGATTTAGCCAAAATAATCTGATTCACACTCTGGATAAAAGTTATCATGATTTTTAAATTTTCATCTACTTAAGTAAATGGCTTAAATGCTATTTTAATCAAATGTCTTGCAAGTCTGTTTTTCAGAAACCAGAAGAAATAAAAACAAAATCTGGCTGGGAAATACGCAAGCAAGAGGAACATATTTTATTTCTATGAAAAATAAAATGGAATTGTTCAACATTTATCTATTTCCAATGTATTTATTCAGAAGAAATGTCAGCTCTGGTGGTTTTCAAAAAAATGGTCAACTTAGAACTTTCAAGAATAACATTTGATTGATGATTCAGGAAAGTCTAAAAAATCCTCCCACTTCACTGACCTAACTTTCTGATCTCATGAGTATCCCTTCATCGACGTGTTTTGAAACAAGCACAGTCTGAGCTCCTGCTGTAACATCAGGTAAAGACCTTCACTGTACAATGAATGAAAGCCATGATCCTTCCCTAAGAACACAGTTGGGTTGCTTTTACTGTCATAAAGGAGAGCTCTAAATGCCTGACTATAACATCCGTTACTAATGTCTTAGTAATCTGCTACACCAGTTTGCAATCATAAAACTGAAAATCACAGTAAGTCATATTGGAAGACATGGATAGAAATGGGAATTTCAGGAAGGGAAGGAGAAAGAACCAACTATATCTTTACGTATTGCTGGCAAAAATAGGAGAGGAAGAAACAGAGACAGAGAGAAGACAGAGACAGGGAGCTAAGAGAGAAATTGAACAAAATACATACTTCTCTATTAAATCAACAAGGAACATATAATGCAGACCTACTCGGTGCAAAGTTGATGTCCTCTTACGAGAAATAAAGGGTAAGTAATCCAACAACAAAGCTGTTAAACGCTGACTGGGCAACATTTTAAGGTTTGGAGATATCACTAAGTTTGAGTGAGACAGGGGAAACAAATGCTCTTTGTAGATTCAGAAACTGACTTTAAAAGAAGAAAAAGTTCAATCAGGAAAACATATGCATATATTCTGAAAGGATATACTGTATTCAAAAATGAGTCTAAATTTTACCATATTCTAAGTTTACTTTCTAATACTTTGCTAAATTTCAGCTAATTCTATCACATAGAGATTTTAATAAACATATTCCCCCAGCAACTATTTATTTCTGGTCTTGGCTGCTAGTCAAATCAGCTCAAAAAGTAGCCTTATGTGGCTGCTGACACCGTGTAAAACAGTGAAGGTCATTATTTACATAATGTGTAACACCTTCCAATACAGGAAATGGCAAAACTTCATCACACAAAATGGAAAGTTCAGGCAGAAAGGTCTGCCAAGTGAAGGACCTGCTGACCTAACAGAACTGACAGGTATTTAAGACCTCAGATAGGCGAGTGGAAAGATCATGTCCTTTCCAATGAGAGAGACCAAGGTCCCCAGCTCAGGCACTCATGGGCTGGGGTGCAGGCAGGCCCCTGCCTCTCTCTGAACTCAGTTTCCTCATCCATGAAATGAAAATTGTAATACCTACTTCCTCATGACCTGGCAAAAGGAAATAATCTTTAAATCCAGGGGGTAAAAAGGACTTTAACCACAATGGCTGTCATGGATAAAACTGACACACTGAAATCAATTACATGTGTTTACAAACAGAAACCTAGAAAGATTTTAAAATATCAAAAAGCCACAAAGTGGGAAGAGATTTACCTCACTTATAACTAAGGATCCATGTATAGAATAATAAAGAAATCCTCTAAACTCGAAATAATAATAATCAGCCAGCTAAAAATGTATGAAAGATTTAACAACAGACACTTGAAAAAACAGGAATGGCTAATAAACATTAAAAAATGCTTGGCTTGATTAGTAATCAGCAATTTCAGATTAAATAATACTACTTCTACAGTTTTTTGGAAAACTAAATGGTTACAGGGCCTCCCTGGTGGCACAAGGGGTTAAGCACAGCACTATGAAGCTATCCGCAACTGCTGCAGCATGAGTTTGATCCCTGGCTGGCCAGGGAGCTACCCAGATGGCGCAGGAGACCTCTCCTGTCTAGCCCGCTGTGTATTTCACTCCCCTTAGCAGTGTATTTCAGTAGATCAGCCTGTTCTGTTCCCCACTCTGTCTCTAGTGAATCCTCTCACCCGCCCCCCCACCTCTGGCCTATCCCCCAGTTCTTGTATGCATAAATAAAAAAATCTTTAATAAAACTAAATGGTTATATATTGAAAACACCACCATCAATTCTGCTCCGTGGTAGCTCTTGAAACTGGAAGTTAACTTTTCCAAATGTCCACATTTGACCTCTTCTTCGGTCTATCACTGTAAGGTCAGTGCATGTCCAACTATAAAGTAACTCTCTCTAGTTGTAACATCCATTAATAACCTGAACTTAGACTGGGCACTTCCAAAGCCTAGACCCAAATTGGACATCTCTCTAGGGACAAACAGAACTCTGCCTCTGCAGAGTTAAAGGCGGGTTATATCTGGTTTCCTGCTATAATTTTGCCTGTAATTTTCTCCTCATGCTATTGTTTTCATCCCTTTATACTCAGTTTCCTTTGCTACAGTGCATGCATCTAGGCAAAGAACTTTCGGTTCTTTCTGAGAACAAATAAGGTATAAATAAACATACACAAGCTTTGTAAGCCCTGGCTTCTCCCTGAAGCCCTTAGCCACGAGTACGGAGAATGAAACATCTGTGGGTCACACACAAGTACTCTCAGTTTTTCATACCAGTTCGTTGCCATGGAGAAGACTCAGCAGCCTGAGAGCTGCACTTGCTCTCAGGCAGTATCTTACTAGCTCTCTGGCAGTATCTTCATTTAGCTTGTTTGAAAAATTTATTGGTCAACAAAGATTTGAGGCACACACCAGTGGAGGGGGAGGTCAGGGGTCAAAACGGGGGTAGGAAGAGGAGAAGCACAAGGGACTGTGGTGACAGTTCATGGGTGCTGTGGTGGTGGGAGAGCTGTAGGGACTGCACCTGAGGGGAGAAATCAAACACTGTGCAAAAATGAACAATGATATAAGAAAATAACTTTAATACAATAAAAAATAATCCATTATAAAAATAATAATAAAAGTTTGTTGGTCAAGATAGCTTCTGACCAGTTGGAAGGAATGTCATCACCTATTCGTGCCAAGCCCATCAGACCATACGCCGGTACTTACCGAAGAGGACCCGGTCTCTGCAGAGTAAGGAGGAGGTGGTGTCTCCGCAGCTATTTCAGGATCTTCCTGCTCACTCTCGCTGTAGCATTCTAAACAAAAGTGAAAGGCTTCATGTTCCAGTGTCATCGTCACATATTCCATAATACGCCAGCAGAGGTTTTTCTCCATCTGGCTATGGCATCCCATCCAATTCCGAAAGGACTTATTTAGTGAGCAAACCAGCATAACACACACACACACACACACACACACACACACACATTCCCAAAAACAGCACAGATTTGTGGCACTGAAATCCAAGATCTCTGGTTTCATAAAGCATTGCTTACTTGGGCATCCTTCGTAAGATAAGAAAAGAGGTGACCCATTAACCAGTTGGTGAACATGGACAGCTACATTAGATATTCTAAATAGTAACAAACATATCTTCTGCAATTGCAAATTTTAGCAATCATCAAAATCTTTATCACTTAATTTAGAAAACTGACCACAATTCTATGTGATTACCAAAAATTATATTTCTTAGTAATGTCAATTTATTCCAGAAATAAAAAGAAAGGGTAATTAATATTTAAATTAGGAATGACACAAGAGAGGAAAACTAACAGCCATAGCAATTCTCTGTCCTTAAGGAAATACCAACATGCAGGAAGAGGGCTACCATAGGTCAGGGAAAATAAAGTAATTCCTTAGAGAGGTGTGTCTGACACCAAGGGAGCATAAAATCAGTAGTGGTTAATTTGACCATAACGAGCTAAAACTGGCAGGATAAGTAAACTATCAGTGGTACCACAGATAGATGAGAATTCCAGGCCAAGAGTAAAATCTGAGCCAAGTATATGGCCACCCTATGGGATTTAATGCAAAAACAAGCTAAGGTGTTGCTTGAGGCTGTATCATAGAAGACTTCACGTACCAGTTTAAGGAGATGATTTTTGTGTAGCATTTTCTTCTCACAATCTAGAAATGTGCTTCAAACATATAATGGGTGTTTTTTGGGACAGAGGATCAAGGAGATGGTTACGGCACTAATATCACAGTATGATAATGTACTTCTTTATTGTGTTAGATCAAGTTGTCAATTTTCCATTTCTAAATTTAAGATTTATAATTTGGTTATGCAGAGATTTTCTTGACTTGTAATTCCCAAGTTTTATGCAGTCTGAGCATTTCAGATATAATGTCTGTTCTGTGACCCTAGCACCTCAAGTCCCCTCAATGTGAAGGAGTAATTACATCCTTAAGAATTAGACTCATGTAGCTTTGAACCCTGAGAGTTACAGACGGAGCTAAATTTATAGCTGTGACCCAGTCTGACCTTCAGGTTCCCAGTAAAAATGTAGGTAATTAGTTTCAGTACACACCTGCTGGAAATCTTAAACTCTGAAGAGGAAAGAGTGGGCTGGAGCTTATGTGTCTAGATCATGAAAAGATCACATGTATGAGTAAGAATTCAGTAAGTGGGGCAATATAACATTTGCATTGACAATTGTTTGAGATGTCAGTGCAGCCTACAGCTGCTACCATGTGGGTGAAGTGTGAAAAGTGATCATAGCCAAAGTGGGAAGTTCTATTCCATGTTGGTGAGACTGTCTAAACGTCTTTCTCTACATATTTGCTGATAATTTTAAATGCCGAAGTATGTTTCTCTAGGACAAAACTCTACATGCAATGTGGCATTGTTTTTCCCTCTATTTCATCCTATTCTCATTCTTGCCAATGTTTCAGAAATTTAAAGTAGAACCTACCTTCTTCCTTTGTAGTGGATTCCTGATGGATTACAGCTAATCCAAGCTTATTTAACCACCTACAATTTAAAGAGAAAGTAAATGTTTGACCAAGAGATTGAAGATTTTCTACCTGTTCACGTTCCTCCTAGATCCCAGGAAGCTCTTGTGCCAGGTTTTGTAATGAAGTTAAGCCACAATTCTACATTCCCTCTGAATATTTCCAAAAAACAGCATAGATTGTGGCACTGAAACCTAAGACCTCTGCTTTCATAATACATCCCTTACTTGGGCATCCTTTGTAAGATAAGAAATGGGGTGACCCATTAACCAGTTGGTGAATGTGGGCAGCTACATTAGATATTCTATACAGTAACAATTGAAAATTTTAGCAACCATCAAAATCTTTATCACTTAATTTAGAAAACTGACCACTGAAATGCTATGTGATTACCAAAAATTATATTTCTTAGTAATGTTAAGTTATTCCAGAAAAAAAGAAAAGCTAATATTTAAACTAGGAAGATTTTTAAATCAATGAGTAAAGAACCTGGCTAGAGTGTGATAGGTAGTCTTAAAATGGGAAAACTTTAATTCCTTGAAGAATTTTACATGCGGTAAAAACTGTCTACTGATTGACCATTTTATTGGCAGTGAATCCCAATTAAATATCAACAACAAAAAAAGAACTAGACAAACTTTAAGGGTGACAAACTTGACTAGCAACTTCAGGCCACCGCCATACCTTCTCCATATTGAGTTAGGAACATAGTTCATAGAACAAATTTTTAATAGATAAGACACAAATTTGTCTATATCTTATGTTCCTAGCTCTATAACCTTATATTTAAAGGAAAATATTATTTTGGAGCAGTAATAATCTGAAAGATTCATTTCACACTTTTTTCCAGTTTTCCTGTATTTTTTTAAATATCCATATTGCATATTGAGTTATTTTTTTTTGAGAAAGGAGAGATTTCAATAGTAGCATAAGTGAACCAATACCAATGACATAACATAACTATGCTATGCACTTAATGATTCATTTACAATTTTCTCTTCTTCCAATCCTATAATGCCCCATGAACTAATAGGCATGCTCTGTTCCCAACATGGTATGAAATTATACATTTCCATATCTACAATTGTCATCTAAATAGAAATCCTTACCCATCTCTCAACCTGCCATGGTCTTTATCTCTTATTTTTAAAAAAGGAAATGTTTAATACATTTGATATTAAAAACTAAACAAAATAGCATACTGTGGAATACTACTCATCTCTAAAAAAGATGGAATCTTGCCATTTGTAACAACATAGATATTATTATTGGAGGGGGTTATACTAAATGAAATCATCAGAAGGAGAAAGAAAAATATTGGATGATTTCACTCATAAATGGAAAAGAAGGAAACAAACTCTAGAAATCTGAGTACAGAATTGAGGCTCCCAGAGGGGGAGATGAGGGCAAATGAGGAGAGGGCTCAGTGGACTAGGGTGAAGGGTTATGGGTGTTCTGGTGGTGGGTGTGGTAAACATATATATGAAGAAGTGTGAGCCAATTCTCCTAAAACCAACATTACTTCAATAAAGATAATATTTTTTTTAATTTTATAAATAAACATATAGGAATATCTGTAAGAAGGAAGATGAGTTTCAGCCTCTTACAAGAAGTCCCCTTCAGCACCACGATAAACATGAGCTCCCTATTGGCCACTGAAAACTGGACCAACACTAGGGTTCAAATCATACCATGAGAACTGGAAAATGTTGGTCAAGACCCAATAGAATAAGCGATAAAGCAAAAAAAAAAAGGAAATCACAGTGGGAAAATGTAAATAACTGATACACATGTAGTAAAAAATTTTGTCTCAATAGTATTTGGGGAAATACCTATTTAAACACAAAAAAGTATTTTTACTAGTAAATTGCAAAAAATAAAAATAATGCTGATTTCGAAAATTTAGGAAGAAACATTCTCTTCCTATGTTGAGACGAACATGAAAGTTGATACAGGCTAGGGCCTCCCCGGTGGCACAAAGGGTTAAGCACCATACTATGAAGCAATCTTTAGCCTGTGCAGCACAAGTTCGATCCCTGGCCAGCCAGGGAGCTACCCACACGGCGAGGCAGACCTCTCCTATCTCGCCCGCTGCTCCCCTCAGCAGTGTGTTTCAGTCAATCTGCCTGTTCTGTTCCCCGCTCTGTCTCTGGTGAATTCTCTCACCCCCCACACCTCTGGCCTGTACCCCAGCTCTTGTATGCATAAATAAATAAATCTTAAAAGAAAACAGAAAGAAAGAAAGTTGATACAGACTAATTTAAACAGGCAATTTTTGATGATGCTACCAAGTTGGAGAGAGTAGATATTTAAATATCCGTCCCTTCACCCAATAATTCTCACCATGAATACCTACCTTAAAAAAACTCTACTTCGTGTACACACAGACAAAATAGAAAAACGTTAAGTCAAGAAGCTTGTGGGACAAAAGAAACATTAATACAGTATAATTCTCCATAAATGGAAAAACGGATTAAGTATAATACTGATTTCAACAGCATAAGGTTAAGATGTTAATAAAGATGGGACTAACATGGGCCCTAGTAATGACCGGGAAAAAATACTAAGATAGTACATGTACTCTACAATGTCATTAAAATTGTATGTTTGTGCATGAAACGACATGCAAACAGGATTTGCATAGCACTATCAGAAGTGGTGACCCTAGAAGAGATCCTGAATTGGAAGGTGAAATTGAGGTGTGGGTAGTTTTCACTTTGTAGACGTCTGTGTTATATTTTTTACAATAATATGCATTATATATTACTTAATTAAAACACTTGAAAGTACATTTTAAAAATTGATAAAAGTACATGAATTGAATGGCTCACGTAAAAATTACTATAAAAACAATATTTTGGGCCTCCCTGGTGGCACAAGGGGTTAAGCACCGCACTATGGAGCAGTCCGCAGCCTCTACAGCATGAGTTCGATCCCTGGCCAGAGAGAAACCCACATGGTACAACAGACCTCTCCTCTCTCGCCCGCTGCTCCCCTCAGCAGTGTATTTCAGTGGATCTGCCTGTTCTGCTCCCCGCTCTGTCTCTAGTGAATCCTCTCACCCCCGCATCTCTGGCCTGTGCCCCAGCTCTGGTATGCATAAATAAATAAATCTTTAAAGAAAAAATTTAGTTTATAACTTCATAATTAAACCAGCTGACCCTCCCCCAAAAAGCATCTAAAAGAGAAACATACACTTTTTTTAAAAATCAAGACAAAAGTAAGTTTTAAACTGAGAATGCCTGAAACAAAAGGCGTTTCTAAGTTGCTTTGAGAGCATGGAAATGCAGAACTAGAGCTAAAGGACTGATAATAAGGATTCTTCTGAGTCCTGACCCAAAACCCATGTCTTTCCAATTGCCACAGTTAGTTACCCATTGTGAAAAACGGATTGGTTATAATCTTCCTTATTTTCTTTCGAGAATCCAGTGGCTTCAAGTACCTCCATTGCTAGGACTTTTCAAAAAACATCACGGCTGTAGGAAAAATTCTATTTGTGGAGAAACAGATAGATACACACAAAGACGTCTATTTACATAAAAGAAGATGACAGATGCTTCCCGGGAGTGTGTTGTGTGGTAACTTGATGTGGATGTGTGTGCTGGAGGAGCGCAAGTGTTAAGAACCGATGCACAAAACAAGAACGCTCTTCCCACAAACACCGTCTGAGAAAGGCAGCTAATGTCGGTCTTGTTTAGAAACCGGCTCTTTCATTATCCTTAATTACTGAGTCCTGTGCTTTGAAAATGGAGGGTCCTCGCAGCTCACACAGCATTTCTATTAAGCTTAATTACCTTTCCCTTCATGGTCCCAGAGAGAAATGTCACCACCCAAAAACGCGGTTACCCAAGGAAACCAACTTCTAAAAATGGGACGCAATCCTCCAATGTCACCCCTTCCTTCCCCAACATCTCTGCATCTTGCTAAGAAGTCTCCAGATACATTTTGCGCTGCCTGAAAAAGGCCACACCAGCAAGAAAGGAAGCTCTCAGGAGGCCCTGCCCAGCAAATCTCTGAAAATCATCGGCATAATCTTGCCAGAGAAGGGAGACGTGGGCTTGGAGCTCCATGATTCTGCATTAGTGACTATTAGAAAAATCATCTTCAAAATAACAATACTTAATACTACTATATAAGAAATGAGGACGTATCCAGGCACAGACAAAATGAGTTGCCGGATGGGCAGTTTTCAAAGACAAAGCTCACAAGGCGAGTCATTACTACAGGTCAGGACACTTCAAGTTCAAATTTCAATTTTCACCTCAGTTATAAGCTGGAAGATAACAAAGCCGAGCATAATGCAAGTAAGTGAACAGACAGATCTCCACAGCACAGGTGGGCAATGAGATCTTGGTTTTGATCGCTCTGACAGGCTCAGAGTCACAGCCGGGCGGACAGAGTATATATAGACACAGGCAGCCTCAGGCCACTCGCCCTGCCATTACACAGATATCGATCTGCAAGGGAGAACTTGAAAAGGGAAGATAAATGGATTCAAAATATAAACAAAAACCAGGGAGGTGGGTGGGCAGGAAGTGAAATAACCCGAAGTGAGATTGAGAGAGCAAATCTGCCTGAAATAGAGCAGATTCAGACAACCATGTAAGGCTGCCTCCCTTTTATTTGGTGAAGAAGGTATTTTACATGTAGGAGGAGAAAAGCAAACACTGAAGAGGAATGTGATGGAGATAAACCAGGTCACCCCCGTCCCTTGTCAGAGAGAACAGAGCAACTTTGAAAGAGCCACAGGATGGTTACGGAGGAGGAAGGAAGTGGAGCTACAAAAGGCTGCTGGAAGAAGCCAGGGCCAGCAGGAGCCCATGGCGGGGGCTCTTGGTGGTGAGATCCAGGATGGCTCAGTCCCAGCCAGACTCTGCCACGGGCCCGAGTCTCCAGGCCTGGCTCTCCACTTTCCACACGCCACTGACACACTCAGGGCTTGCTCACCAAAAGCGTGCAAGCGAAACGAGAAAGGGTGATGAAGGTAACATTTTTAAAAGCTCCTGTTGTATAGCTGCTCTTCTTTTACTCAGATGCTTGAGCAAGCTGGGAAGGGAGGAGGGGGAAGAGGTAAAATCAGAAATGGGTAGAAACATCTTCCTTGTCAGTTAAATAAAGACTCAATAAAGACTCATTTGAGGCCTCCCCTGTGGCAGAGGGGGTTAAATCTCGGCAAGATGAAGCTATCAGCAGCCACTGCACTTGATGGCTTCGATCCCCGGCCAGGGAGCTGACCCACAAGGCACAGCAGACCTCTCCTGTCTCACCCACTGCTCCACTCAGCAGTGTATTTCAGTAGATCCACCTGTTCTGTTCCCCACTCTGTCTCTGGTGAATTCTCTCACACCCGACACCTCTGGCCTGCACCCCAGCTCTTGTGTGCATAAATAAATCTTTAAAAAATATTTTTTAAAAAATACTCATATGGAGGACTTGACTGGCAGCCCCTGGCCTGTTATTTCTAACAGAGGGTTTCCCAGCGTTCTGTGGGAAGATCCACTCTGCCCTGGGAGGTCAGTGTGGGGGACAGACGTGGATGTTTCCAGCTAAGGAGGGGTGTGTGGGGGTGTGTGTGTGCACGTGTGTGTGTGCGCAGTCATCCACAATTGCACAGATGTGTCTTTTTCTTTTGTTTTGGTGATCCTGGTTATCTCCATAACTTTTTTTTTTAATAGAGGTAACACTGGTTGACACCACTGCATGAGATTTAGAGGCACAGGATGACACCTGTGGGAGGATCACACCACACCCACCACCAAGGCACTAAAAGTCCTCCGCCACAGTCCATGGGGCCCACTCCCCCTTGTGCTCTCCCCCCTCCTTCCCCTCCTGGAACCTCAATTCAACAGTCAGATTTTGAGGGTGTGTTATTGGTCTGGTTTATCTGGCCCTTGGTTGTATTTCTTTGTACTACATGTAAGTGACCCCAGTCGCAATCTGTCTTTCTCTTCCTGACTTACTTTGCTCGGCACCATCCCCTCCAACCCATCTATGTTGCCACGGCAGTTAGTTCATCTTTCCTACAGCTCACTAGGATTCTGCTTTGCATACAGACCACATCTTCCTGATCCACACATCTGTCTTTGGGCACTTAGGTTGTTTCTATCACCTGGCTATTGTAAATGTTGGAAAAGCAACTCCTTTCTTCTTTATGTTTCCAGAATAAGAGGGCAAAGAAAAATTACATAGGGGAGTTAGAGAGGAAATATGTGCAAAGTAGTGAAACAGACTCTGTGAACGGAGGATTTATGTCTCTGTTATTTACTCCTGTTGCCCAGGACCTGCTATGGGTTACATAGCAGGAGTTCCAAAGACAAAAATATCTTTTTATGTAGTTGTATGACGGCAATAGGAGACTCTGACAACTCTGAGAATGGGGCTTAAATTAAATAGCATGTTTCCTGATGTCAGTCACCTCTAATATATATAACCTCCTCCAAATATATACTGTGACAAGAACCGAAAGTTATCATAGAGGATGTGAAGAGACAAGGCCTCCTACACTGCTACTGGGACGGCAGACTGGTCTGACCAGTATGGAGAGGCCTCAGAAAATAAAAAGTAGAAATTCCATGCCATCCAATTATCCTGCTTCCGGTACTTGCCAAAAAAAAAAATACATATACAAAAACACTAGAAGAAATTTACGCTCTCCCTTCTTTCTTATGATACTATTATAGAAATTAAGAATTGGAAACAAACTAAGTACCCATCAACCAATGAATGAATAAAAAAGACAGTATATAAGAAACACAGTAGATACTATTTAGCTGGTAAAATAGATGAAATGGTGCCATTTGCAACAACAGGGATGGAGCTAGAAGTTATTCTGCTTTAGTGAAATCAAAGACAAACACCACACAATGTCACTCATATGTGGTGTATAATGAAAACAAATGAACAAAAATAAATTACTGAACTATAACAACTGACAGTTACCAGAGGTAAGGGAGCAGGTGGGTAGGTGAGTCCAGAAGGGACATGGGTATGTTGAGGAATAAAGTTGGAATTTTAGAGATGAACCTAATGTGTATGTAGTTGCAACTCATATTACATCATGATACAAAGTCACTTCAATTAAAAAAATTTTTAAATGAAAAAGAAAACAATAGTCATGTGACTGGCCATAATCGAAGCCAGTAAGAAAGGGACTAGGATCGGTAAACCCATGTGTGCATATCCCACTTATTTAAACTGAACAAGCAGGAAATGGAGTTGGGGTATAAAATTTTACTTTACATGTGCGCTGAGAAAGGATTTCTTTGTAACATGTCAGGAGAGAGCATGGAGAGGTGACAAGCATGTGAATCATGATGATAATCCTGCACAGCACATTAAATGCTGTAGAGTTGTTTTTCATTTGCAGATCTGAAAGCCGTGAGATTGGTTCCATAATACTTTCAGCCCTTTCTCCCTGCAAAATCTCATTCTGACATTTTCTTATAATGACTTTTGTCTAGTCCCTTCTCAACTTAGCGATTCTCTCAGAAGAAACTTATCTTCTTCCAAAATAACCATTTTGAGATGTGTAGTTCTTTAAAATGCTTCCAAGTACGAGGGAAGACAGTAAAAAGATTTTCTATTGCTAAAGAGATTAATCCTTAGAAAAGCAGCAGAAGTAAATAAATCAAAAATTGATAATGAACATATGCTTAAAACTCAAAGACCTGGTCAAAGTAAGTCTATTCCCATAAAGATTGAATTGGCCATTTCTCTACTTACACATTCATCTCCTGCACATTCTCAGCTGCAAAATAAAAGGTCTTGATCTGTGGATGACTGATCTTAAATGCACTTGAAGGAGAAAAAGCAGACACAGGAGAAATTAGTTTTTATAGTCATAAAAAGGTTTGAAAGTAAACCAGCCAAATACAAGTATGGTAAGCTCATCTTCTTTCTTTGTAAATTTACAAAAAATAATTTTAGTGATATTAAATAACTATTGTCTAATCGCTACTGTATGAGCAGAGGCATAATTCCTCAAGTCAGGATTTCCAGAACAAGACTAACTTTGGGCTGGTCAGCACTTTCTATTTAAAGCATATGATATAAATAAATTGAAACTTAGAGTGATGAAGGTTTCAGTTCGAATTACTCAAATCGTCTCCATAATGCCATGTGCTTGTTTAAATACAATAAATATATAGGAAATTTTATTTATAGGAAGATAATCGGGTCTAGAATTTCACACTGTGACAAGACATCAAAAGATGCCTCTTTGCCACCTTGCATTAGTAAGAGAAATACATAACATAAAAAGATAGATTTTTAGAGATTTTTTTAAAAATATATAGCATGTCATTTAAGAGGACAGACAATAAAGAGTATACACTCTACACTTTTGACCGGAAGTTCTGCAGCACAGGTCAGATTTTTTGAAAATAACCAGTTTGGTCAAAACCACAAGAATCAACACAACCCCACACATCACTGGATATGCACAGCGACACCAGAGTGACGCACTTAAATTTCAGAAGAGTTTGTCTTCTTAGGGGAATAAAATGAATTAATCACTGCTATGGTAGCAAGGGTCAACAGGGAATGGGCCTTTCTGATAGGCAGGAAAAGAGGTCAAAGGCAGGAGAATAAGAAAAGGTGAAGAGGACACATGCAAAATGCAGTCAGATGGTATCAGAGGGGAGCACTTGACAGGGAGTCTATAGTAGGCTCTCTTCAGGGCTCAGGAAGGACCAGAGTCTCTGGCTGTTCCCTTGTCAATAAAACCAGGACAGTGGACTGGTGACTTCTTTGGTCTCTGTTGGTCCTTCAATCTTTTGGACCTAAGTGGAATCAAGGTGTCATCTTCAAGCTTAAGACATCTCAGAAATTTTTATTTCAAGGGTGCTGACAATTGCATGAACTAAGAAAAAGAATCTGGTCTTGTGATCATATCTGCAGTTCTGGGGAGTCCTATTTAATCGGTCATTTTCTTTACAAGGACAAAACCTTGACATCTGACCTTCCTGCCAATCCTGGATGGGAGCTTGTTTTTCATAGACAGTTATTTTCAACACACCATGCCAAGGCTCCACGGGGTTTTAAAATCCATCTGCTCCACAAAGTGAAATTCCAGAAAACAGGAGGATAAGTCCCTTTTTTTGTTTAGGGTGCTGATTCATAATGTTTAAAAAACTCCAGACATTTAAGTGCTAGCTTCATTATCTTCCAAAGTGCCAAGTCTTCACATGAGGAAGGGGTACTGTCCTGGCTCAGAGTTTTTAGGAAAAGATAGACAACTTACTGCTTTTTCTTGCATTCCACGGCCCTTTCCACAGTGAAGTCGGGCAGGTTGACAAATCCATCAGCTTTCTCTGCCTGAAATAAATACACATCATAAAATGTGAATAAATAAACCCTAGCAGAGTACTGAGAGAATGTTTGTTCAGAGAGAGCTGAAATGAAGGAGAATCAAAAGATACCTCCCTAAATCCTCATTGGATTTATCCCAGATACACAGTTTATGAGAAAGGTTAGTATTCTCCTGATTCATCATCCAGAATATTTCCAGGGGAAGTAACAGGAGACCATTTAGGGACGGCCAACATATGGAGGCAGACACAATCACAGAAGATGCCACCTAGTTAGCATTCTGACATATGGTGGACAGAGACCTGACTTTGGAGTTAGCGAATCTTTGTTCTTATCATGGATCTACAATTTACTGGCTTTAAATGAGCTCAGATAAACCAAACAGTTAACACACTGAACAAACATGTCTTCTCCTAAGACCTAGGCAGTTCCTTGGGAATTTAACCACAGAGCCATGTCTTAAAAGACCTCCATTCCATAATTGATTCCTAGACATTCTTTCTACTAAGGAAAGAGTATGGAAGAAACAATGCTTTTGAAGACAGAGCTTGAATGTTGCTTTAGAACATTAAAGAAAAATTATACGAATTGTAATAATGGTCCACCTCTAAAAAATTGTTAATCTCTATGAACAAAATTTAACTCAGCCACAGGGAGCTAGATTGTTTATCACAGAACACAAATCTTCTTTTGTCTACACTACTGTCTCTGAGTAGAGAAATAAATTCCACAAGATTAAACACAAATGAGTAAGTGGTTATTAGGAGATGAGTAAATATTGATTTTGAAAATACAAACTTAATTTTAAAAGTCAGCTAGCTATTAAACTAGCTCTGTGGGTGCCTTTAGTTCATTTCATCAGCTCGTGTCTTTTCCCTTATCACCAACTAGACTGCAATTTGTGCTCTTTTCTTAAGAAAAACGCAACTGTGAGATCTCCAACTCTGCCTGTCCCATCTTCAATCTCTTACATGAATCAATTTATCTAGCTCTTTACTTGAAATGTCTTTTTCTTATAAGGCTCAAAACTCAATAGTGATGGTCATTTCTTTCTTTAAAATAGTACGTATATATGCATATAGTATGATATATATTATATAAGTATATATAAATGAATTTGTGTAAATATGTATGTGATACCTGATATATGTACATATAATTTCAACTTAACCTGTCACCTGATGGTCTGTTTAATTACTGAATGGTGGGTTCACCAGTGCAATCTCAATTATCATGGGCAAATCCTAAAGGAAAAGCAGTTTCTCCTCTTCTGCCTCCTTTTCTTCCTGCTATCCACTCAGATTCGGTTTTTGTTACATTAACTAAAATAACTTTTCCCAATGATTTCCCTCCACTTCATTGATTCCTAATTTCTGAAAAGATTCTTTGAAGTTCTGCACTGGTGTCTACAAACTCCCCTCTGTATCCTAAAGAAAATGTGTTCTCTTACCAACAGTGTCCACCCATCCCTTGGCTGTGGTGCAAGCTCATCTTACCACGTGTAATCTTAAATTCTGAGGCAAGATAATGTTTTTCACATTGTGGCATGAAGTCTCACACTCCCAAAGGTGTTGCTCCTTAAACGCCAACCCATTCATTCTTCCCAGCATCTCTGATTGTGTCTGTCTCCGTGGCATCTCCCCTGCTGTTGCTGTGTTCCACAGCATTAAGCACAAAATTGTATCAAACCATTGTTGTTACGCTTTCATTTACTCAACAAATGTGTATTGCGGGCCTTCTCTGTGTCAGGCACTTTACAACATATTTGGGATATGTCAGTGGACAAAACAGAGATCTCTACTCCCAAGGGGAAAAGAGACAACCGCTCAATATCTAAGCACCTAAATTGCATCGTGCTTTGTAGGCAGTAATGACTATGGAAAAGCAAATTAGATCAGGGGAAAGAGGGTTGGGGACTGCAAACAGGGCAGGTTGTTTTCTGCTCCTCGTTTTCTAATGTCCTAGATACGGCTCCGGGAGCCAACTTCTCCAAAAAGTTTCCCCTCCTTCTCCAACCAAGAGTAAGTGTCCTCTTTGCCCACCAGCACCACGAGTGGGCTTCACTTGCAAACTTCTCTTACTGTCTACAGTTATCTGGTTCTATGTCCGTTTCTCCATTTGACTATGAACACATTGAAGGAAACACTTTTTTCTGCAGTCCTGTCATTAACACTTGGCACAAAGGAGATATTCAACAGACATGAAATAAATGGGTTTTATGAACAATGATAAGAACATTATCATTTTCCTCTGACAATGAATTGTTAACTAAGTCAGTTTAGCAGTTTCTAAAAAAACACATAAATATGTCATTACTATACAACCCAGTCATTCCATTACGAGGTATTTACCCAATAGACATAAAAGCAAATGCCCACACAAAGATTTGTGTGCAAATTTTTATAAAGGCATTAATCATAATAGCTAAAATAGATGCAATCTAAATAATCAAAAACCAGTAAATAGTAACCTGGTGTACTAACACAAAGGACACTGTTTAGCTAACTTCTGCCAGGTGCTACCACATGGACCCACTTTGTAAACATTCCACCAAGTGACAGCCAGAGACAAGAAACCACAGATTACTCTCCTACTTCTTGGTATGAAACATCCAGAAAAGGAAAATCTATAGAGACAGAAAGTGAAATGGTGGGGCCTCTCTGGTGGCACAGGGGTTAAAGACAGTGCTACCAAGCTATTGCCTGCCACTGCAGTTCGATCCCCAGCCAGGGAGCTGACCCACATGGCTCAGCAGACCTCTCCTGTTTCCCTGCTGCACCCCTCAGCAGTGGATTTCAGTAGCTCTGCCTGTGCTGCAACCCACTCTCTCTGGTGAATCCTCTCTCCGCCCCCACCCCACCCCCACCACCACACAGACACACACAGACACACACAGACACACACACACACACACACCCTCTGGTTTACATCCCAATTCTTGTATGCATAAATAAATCTTTAAAAAAGAAAGTAAAATGGAGGTTACCTGGAGCTAGTGTAGGAACGGAAAGTAACTGTAAATGTGATAAAGGATTATATTGATATATAGAGATGATTGAAAACTGATTTATTGTAATAAGTGCATAGCTTGGTAAATTTTCCAAAGGGTATTAAATTGTAAATTTCATAGAGTGAATCTTATATGTACAATTTACTCAGTGATGGACTCCAAAGTTTCCCTCCTCTCCATAGTGCTGCTTGGTCCTGATAAGCAACTCACCTGCCCCTTCCTTTCAGAGCAGGAAAGATGGAATGGACACACAGAACCGATTCTGCAAGTGTTGCATGAGCTGCAGGCAGCGAGCTGAGCTTATTAGCATTGCACTATGCCAAGCACCGCCAGGAAAGCAAGAAAAGATGATTTTTTGTTTTGTTTGTGTTTTCTCTTCTAGATATCAGAAACAGGTTTGGCAGGGGAAATGCCTGAAGAAACAGATAATAATAACTAACAATTATGGTATCAAGGCTCATAACCCTTGGCGGAAAATTAGCCCTAGCTGAGTGCCAGGATTTATGAAACTGATCAGTTTTTAACCTAAACATCAAATTAGATTGGCACTGAAAAATGGAAAATTTGTGTGGTATTATTCAATGGCAGAACTCAGATCAGTACCAGCAATCCCTTAAATTATCATAAACATGAGAATTTCTTCAGACTCAGCCAGCTAGTAGGAGAAGAGATTCTGAGGTCCAGAAAAGGTGCAGAGGAAAGACCCTGAATTTTCAGTCAGAATATTGTGAAGGAAGAAGCCACCTACTGTGTGACCGTCAGCAGAGCACTTAATCGCCCAGGTCAGTGCACACACAATGAAGAGGCAGACAGAACAGTGTCTCCAGGCTAACAGCTCAGACACAGACAAGAGTCATGCTGTGAAATTATTAAAGCTATAAAAAATTCAACATGTCATTATCATTAATTCCTAAGAAATAGTAAGAATTGAGAAAAGGAATGAAAAGTAACAAAATGGCCCAGAAAGAAATAAAGTTTTTAGTGAAATAAAGTTTTTATTCTGTCCACTGTCAGCTGGGCTCTCTGATTAGCTATTTCTGTGTCTCACTTCTTATCTTCTTAGCTTCAGATTAATGGTTGAAAAAGGCCTTTTAATTCTTTGGAGGGTGATAATACTAGCAAGCTCCCTACATCCTTCATACATTATCTGGGGTATGTTTTTATTAAAATATCTTTGCATTTGGATTTATCTAATGTTACCCTATGGATACAATGTAACTTTTATCCAAAGAGATTTTCTTCTTACAAATGCCTGGAAATGGATGTTCTACATAGAACACATTTGGTATTTTTTTTTACATTATTACAGAATATATTATTTCTCTGGCTATTTAAGAAATCTTATCTATCAACCATGGTTAAAGAAGTACTGGGGGAAGAGTAAATGCCATTTACTCTTAAATGCAATACCATTTAAGAAAATTTAAAATTTTGGTATATTCTCTTTTAGTATTAAATATTTAGAAGAAATAAAAAATAAGGTTAGTTCATTTAAAATCACAGCTAAATGCACAATCTTGCCTTTGCACAATGTATATTAAATCTTTCAATACTTCAGGAACTTTCAAACTTCTCTAAACTTCTTTCTTGAGTTTCATGAGGGTCATTAAGATGCTACTCAACAACATAATTTCTCCAAAGAAGTTACACAAGTGGCCAGAAGCTCAAGGGCAATAAACAGGAGGGAAATTCCAATCAGAGCTGCAGTGAGAAACCCCCTCATTCCCATGGGGAGGGCTACTGTAAAACAATAAAATAAAATAAAACAGGAAATACCAAGTGCTAGTGAGGATGCAGGGAAAGTGGCACATCTGTGCTCTCTTGGCAGAACGTAAAATGGTACAGCCACTATAGTAAGCAGCAAGGCAGTTCCTCGGAGAATTCAAAATAGAATTATTATAATATCTATCCATTACACTTCTGAGAATGTAACCAAAAGGAATGGAAGCAGGGTCTCAACAAGATTATTTTATTCTCGCCTTCATAGTAGCGTTAT